ATTCATATTTTTGACGCTGACCGTATATGTACATATAGAAATTGTTGAAATTAATATTAAATGCCGTGTAATGATTAACTGAGTGACTCAATTTGTTTTAATTTTTCCTTTTGATTTTGTTCTTTTCTGCTCTTTGCATTAATTAGCTTTTTTTGATAAATTTACAATCGATATTAAACATATTCCGTTGTCCCTAATCAATAAGTATGAATATTCAATATTTATTTGTATGTACATATGTACAACTAAATGATCGTTTTGGGGCAATTGTTTTGTTGTCGCCATATAAATTAAATGTATAACAATGCGTAATATCGGTTAATAGGTTTATTGCACTTTTCGTTTATTTGGAATAACACACGCGCCAATCGTTGCTCAAATAATAATTTGTGTATGTGTGTTGGCATGTACATATGTATGTATATAAGCAATCAAAGTTTGTGCCTTAAGTCTTTTAATTGCAATGAGAGAAAGGAAAAATTGCTTAGATATTTTAAGAAAAGGAAGTGAAATGCAAAGATATTAACCATATAAAAAGTATGTAAGTGTACTTAGCACTTTCGTGGCGTTGATGTCGATATCGATTTGTCGATATTTTATTTCATCGGTATTTTATTTTGATATCGCTATCAGGAAGAAAAAGAAGACTACTTACATATTTTTCGATACACTTTACTCGGGTATTATCGATATATTCAGGCAGGTTCTGCAATTCACTTCGAGTGAATTTCACTAAAATTCGCTTTGAATTCAAATTGGCAGGTGTTGATTATTCGCACTCGTATTTGCATTCCAGAGTAAATCGAAATTGAAGCCAGGCAGAAAAACATAAGAGAGGATATGCATTGCGACATTAACCCTCTAATGCCGTATGATGCCTTAAGGCACTTTTACAAAAATTGTTCGAAATCGTTTTCTCTTATACATAAATCACAAGCCCAATCTTATACGAGGACGCTTATTCTCAAAACTCATGCTCGCTATTTAAAAAAAAAAAAACTCATCATAAGACCTTGTCTAGACCTAAGGCCATAATGAATTCCAACAGTTTCAGAGGTGGCAGAGAGTCACCTTTCGTTTCCTGGCCCAAGTTTTCCAAATATATTTTTCTTCTAGCCATTGTGTCCCATTCTAGGGGATGCAGTGGAATTACTTCAGTGGAGAGCATAGCCCTCGGACCGTGTACTCCTGCTCCTATACATTCGTCCGTCTTCGAAACCCCCAGTGAGGCGGAAATATGCTTGCTAGAACAGTCAAGTTCCATGGTGCTCAGGGGCCTAGTTGGGTCTTTAATCTTTTCTCAAACATTGTTCACTTGGATGGTCATCTGTTTTGAATTGGATGAAGGCAATCTTTTAGAGCCAAGGATTTAACTGCGGTCTTTAGCTGTATTATTTTACTTTCTATGCACTCATCAGTTTATACATAGTCTACAAAAGCTTCATACTTTCAGAGAATAAAACATACATATTTCTCATTCGATTGTTTATATATTTATCCTTTTCCTCATAACAGCATTGTGGTATAAATTTCTTATTGAGTAGTATCGCATATTTTCCGGAATTAATCTTCTCTCTATTGTGTGATTTTGTTAACAACTAAGCTGCGTTACTGTTACATACATGGTACATAGTAAATGAAGTAATTAGCAAACTGAGCACTTAAAATACAAATGAAAAACAGTTCCAAAAAATTGTATGCATGTGAATCGATATTTCCGACTAAGCACCGCTTAATCACTGCCTTCGCCATCATCTGTAGCTTCTACTTCTTCGTCGTCCTCTTCATCGCTACCACCACTCGCAGAAGCCTCACTTTCTTCATCGCTGTCCTCCTTTTTCTTCTTTTTCTTATCATCTTTAACTGATTTATCGGCCTAAGGAAGATCAATGTTAAGTAGTCGAACTAAGCTTTTTATTTCTTCTAAAATGACTATTACTTACGGATTTGCTCTTTTTCTTCTCTGGCTCTGAGTCAGCCGCGCCCGATTCATCTTTCTTATCTTCATTATCAGAAGATGATTCATCATCGGAAATGTATTCTTTACTTTTGAAACCACCTGTACTGGCTGGTGATTTCTTTGTTGGCGATTCCTTTTTTCGTTTCTTCGTTGCACCACCCGACTTGATGCCACTCTCCTCGCTGGCTGTGGGCTTGTAATCCTTCATCTCGTCTTGATAGCGCTGCTTATCCTTGGCAGCCAGTTCCTCCCATTTGGATTTGTCTTTCATCTCCTTCCACATTTCACCGGCCTTCTTTGCAATCTCAGTTACCTTGATGCCTGGATTATCTTTTTTGATTTGCTCGCGAGTTTCATTTAGCCACAACATAAAGGCTGTTGTGGCGCGTTTAGGTTTGTTGGCATCTTTTTTGGTTTTAGAAGTTTTTTTCTGCAAAAAATAAATAATTTATAATTGTTACAGAGACTATGACCCTTCGCAATTAGCTAGAAATCTCGCACTCACCACACGCTCCTTGCGCTCCTTCTTTTCCTTCTTCTCTTTTTTTGCTTTCTTCTTCTTTTCAGCGCCTGAGTCACTACCACCACCACCGCCGCCTCCCCCACTCGCGTCCGAATCATCGCTATCGCTCTGCACATTGCTGTCGTACTCTTCGGCCACATCTGATTCTGCTTCATTTGGCTTGAAGTCCTCATCTGTTGACTCTTCATCAGATCCTTCATCATCGTCCGATTCCTTTTCGCGAGCCTCGGCTTTCACACGTGCCAAATAAACGTCGGGTTCATTCTCGTTATCCGAATCACCAAAGTCCACATCATTGTAACCAGAACCACCTTTATCCTTGCCAATATTGCTGACGCGCAATTTCTTCTGTTGTATGTAGTCAAAAAGTTTGGCGTACTCCTCCTTTTCGATGGAGCTGAATGTGTTCACTGTGCCGTTTTTCAATGTTATTTCAAAATCAAAACTGCGAGTGGAACCGCCGCTACGCGCAAAGTTCACTGATGCTACTTCTTCAAAACGTATATGCAAGGGCGGCTTATGGATGTAGATAAAACCCCGCTCAAGAGGATAGAGATAACCAGCGGCGGCTTTGAACGAACAGCCGATAGCAGCAGTACCAGAATGTCTGCAAGGAATGAATACATATATGAGGGAGAATTTATTTTAGAATTGAGTCAAGAGTTAAAGTAGTTCTTATTTAATATACAGTGTTTTTGATAAAAAAAAATTTCATGCACTTTTATAACAATATACACTTCTTCCTATAACATAACCATAAAAATTAAAGGGTCACACTTTATTCAAAATNACAGTGTTTTTGATAAAAAAAAATTTCATGCACTTTTATAACAATATACAGTTCTTCCTATAACATAAACCATACAAATTAAAGGGTCACACTTTATTCAAAACAAAAGAAAATTCAACAAATTTCAAAAACTTTTTAATCAGAATTTTTAGAAACTTTTCAGAAACTTCTATTTAAGTATGATAAATTGCGCGTGTCCAGTTTCATTCATTTATCATGAAAAACATTGTATATATTATATTAGAATAGAACAAGGTGTATGCTAACTTTTCACTCTGACTGTATATAACTTACCCAATAAAATTGCCAGGGCCTGTGATTTTACGCCCAATTAGCACCTTCATAACTTTACCCATAACTTCATACAACGGTCCAGAGAGTTCTTTTTCGATTTTTCCTTCATACTTTTCCTTCAACTCTTCGTCGGTGAACGGCAACTCTATTGAAGTCTCTTCTTCTGGACCAAATAGCAGCACTAAGAAGTGATAACGCGTCTGACCTTGTTTAATTGGTGGATCCAACGAAAGCACGAGAAACATTTGCCTGTTATCTTTATGTGGTAATAAAAAGAGGCGCAGCACCGAATCCATTGGTATTTTGTAATCAAAAGTTTTACCGTGCAATTGAAAGAAGGTTGAGAAAATCTTGATATCGTAGCGACCACGCGGTGTAAGGCAGTGTATTTCACGGAAGATAGCAATAGCATCGCCAGAGGCCGATATAACCGAGGCCTTGCTCATTACATTGTTCTGGAAACTCTCCACTGGATCTTCATCAGCCGACTCTACAGCTGGTATGTGGAAACGCATTTCCAACAAACCGACTGGTGCGTCATCGCTCTGATGAAACTCCAATGTTACTTCATTTTTACCCGTCATACATTGAGACACGTGTTGCAGTGGTATTTCAAAGATAGTCTTGCTATCCTTGTCAAAACTGAGCGCTGAGCCAAGGAAACGTGCCGTACCCCAATTCCAACCTTTGACACACAACTCCTTTTCCACCATATCCTGATTGTAGGTTTTCTTCAAGAATTTACCCAATTTCTCGTGCTCCGAATCCCGAAAGCCACAGAAGCGATGCAGTGTGCCATTTTTTGTGAATATACGCAAACCCCAATTACCAACAAATTTTTGCGAATTTATGAGCTCTATATCTTCGGCTGCGATTTGCTCTACTTTGCCAGTTTTGTTATTTTTGAAAATAATATGCTGATCAGTGAGCTTCAAGCGACCGGGTGTCTGTAAAATTGAGGCAGGTATGAAAGAAAAGAAAATGCGACCGGCAATGATCGAAACTTACCAACACGCCACGCACTTCGGCGGTAATGTCGCTATATTCGAGTACATCCGCCATAGCTTGGAACTTCCCAAATTTTTGCACTTGACGATTTTAATAGTTGCTTGGTGAGGAAAATCACAAATTAACAAAGGAAACTAATCTGAAAAGCTACGCAAGAAATGCAATCAACGACGCTGTAAAAATAATTCGGCGCCTTTTGACAGCAGCAAGAAGAAGTAACAAAAGAGTCACAATAGCGAAAGTGTCAAAATGTAACTCGGTGTTGGAGCTGCCAGAAAAAATAACCAACAGTTAAGCTGCAAAATTAAATAAATTAAATACTTTAAAACACTTTATGCACTAATGGCCCTAACGTGAAATGAAAAATTAAATTTCTTGGAATAGTTACAAATTTTCTAGCTCTGATATTAAAAAAACATTTTTATTATATAGCAGGCAGGCAGCACTCATGCAGCCGCTTGGTAAACGTCAAAAATCAAAAAAAAGGAGGCTGGTTTTCGCTTTTGTTTGCAATTTCTGGATTTTCTTTAAAAATATATATAAATATTTAAATGGATAGCGTAAGTATATATTATTATTATAGTATGGCTTAGAATAACCATTCAATCTGTGTATAAACCCCCACAGGAGTTACGTAGCAAAGTAGAGTCATGCTGCCGCACGGCTGAGGACTTCACAAAACTATACTACACATCGTTTGATAAGCGACGCCATGTAAGCACACGAATTATTTGAATTAATTGGCTCCAAGCATTAATTTTCCCCTTTAACTTCCAGCAAATGGGTCGCTTGTACCTGGATAATGGCTTACTTGTGTGGAATGGCAATGGCTCGAGCGGTAAAGACAATATACAAAAGTACCTAATTGAACTGCCCACTTCGGAACATACAATAACCAATCTAGATGCTCAACCAATTATCGATGAAGCGGTTGGTGGTCAACTGACTTATATGATTCAGGCAGGCGGTACTGTTCGCTACCATGATGAAGGTGTTAGACCATTCCAACAAACATTCATCATTACTGCACAGGAAGATAAATGGAAAATTGCTAGCGATTGCTATCGACTACAAGACGGACTGGCGCGTGCAGAAGCTTAAGTTGTTTAAGTTCATTTGTATACATATGTAAATTTCTAAGGAAAAAGCAAGAAAAGAGTACAACAAAATTACGTTGGTCACTCTCAATAATTATTTTCGTACTAAACCACAATTTACATGCTAACGTACACCTCGCGCAAACTTAATTACTCCTCTTTGGCTTTCTTGGCATCTGGTTCCCCACTGGAATCTGTAAATATCGGTTTTGGCTGAGTCTTTTTGTATGCCGGCGCTATCCAATAAGGATTCTCCTCCGCTTCTTTAGCATATTTCAAAATCGCCTCACGGGGATCTTGGTCGTCATCAACGCGCTTGCTTAAGCCCAAATTCCTTATGACATATGAGGAGAGTGTGCCACCTGAGCTAGCTACACGGCCGCCTTGACCGCTGGTGATTGGCAAATCTGGACGCCGCGATTTCACCGGATCTAGGCGCTCTTTCTCCATCTTCTTGCGTGATGACTTCGATTTTTCCTGCCTAAACATTGGTAAAGCATGTGGTGTGATGATCTGTGAAACACCAATCATTTCCGTGTGCTTCTTTTTGCGGTGCGTCTTCACAACGCACAATTTGGCGCCACGTGAACTGAGTAGTTCATCGTAGTAGCACTTGATGACACCATTACCACAACCGACAAATATCTGATTCAACTTCGGATGCCATAGTGCTTTTATGACATGTGAGTCGGTGACACTGATACGTTTCACTTCTTCAAACGTTTGTGTGCTATAGAAATGCAGGTGTGCCTCCTTGGCACCTTTGGGTAAAGACTCGCCAGTCACCAGCATTTTATCATCTGGACTGAAGCAACAGTCGGTGGTGTCATAACGTGAAAACAGATCAGTCCATGCATGCAAGGGCTCTTTGAACTTTCGCAAATCCCACAGCTTCATGGTCTCATCATTGGAACGTGTTGCCAGTTGAGTGCCCAAGTAGGAGAATTGAATTGAGCTAATTTCGGCATCTTTTTGATGCGCACCACGCAAGCAGTGTGTCGTATTAACGAACATTTTGCGTGTGTCCCACATCTGCAGAGAACCGTCAACGCAACCAGCGGCTATTAATGTGGCGTCGCGGTTAAATGCACATGCCGAGGCGTTGGTACGCAAGCCGCCCTGTGCGCGGGTTTTGATTACGGTCTTCTGCTCTTTCGACTTCAGTCCATGCCAAACACGAAGCGTGCCATCGAGTGCGGCGGTAAGAAATTCCTCCCGTGTGTAAGGATGCCAACAACCAGAGGTAAGTTGTGCTGTGTGGCCCTTGGTGCGCGACATATCGCTTATATATTGATCACCTTTGACACATTCCATTTTTTCGAACCCATCACGATCTAGTATTTTCGCTTGAGAGTTACCAGACACTACGAGTATCATATCGCCTGTAACGGAGTAATGTAGTGCGCGTAAAGTATGATTCTCACAGGGTTGTATGGTTCGAAAACTGCGCATGGCCGAGTCCATGCCAGCAAAATCCCAAAAGCACATATCGTAATCGATAGAGCCGGAAACAAGGCGTGCGCCTGCAGGATCGCCGGCTAGAGCGAGCACAGCACGTGAACCGTGCCGCATTTGCACTTCATGTGTATTCGGTATTTTGCGCTCCAAGTGGTTGTCGTCATCATCATCTTCGTCGTCCTCATCGGTGTCGTCATCGTCACCATCATCACTATCTGCGTTAGTTTTCTTAGTCTTGGCAATTGCCGAGTTCTTTGCCTCCATCTCAGCACCCACTGCGTCGGTAGGTAAGGGGCCAAATATTGGTTCTTCATCGGAATCATCCTCACCCGTTTCTCTTCGTTCATCATTATCAGTGCGCGATGGTTTTGGTGGCGCTACTTCACGTGCTTTAGCAATTTGTTCCTATAATATTTCAAGAACTGGTAAGTTTTACTCCAACAGTTTGGGTACTTTTCCCTTTTTGCTTCTTACTCACGTTTATATCGAAAACTTTTGCGGTTTTACGTCCAAAGCCGCTTATGCCCATAACTTCTTTGAGATGTTGGCTTTCCATATCATCTGTTACCTCTTCTACTTGTCGAATAAGCTGCTCTTTACCCATTTTCTTGAAACCTCCTACCATTGCTTTGGTCACCGAAGTCGAGGCTTCATCCTCAGTCGCTGTCACCATTTTTACTGGTTCAGCCGGCTTGTTGGGATTAAGATTTATTTTCCCGAAGGAAATTTTGCTGCGATTCATTTTTGATGCACTTTTAAACACAAATCTATCATTTGTTATTGATTATTTTCGCCAATTCGTTCGGTAGAATGGAAATGCTTTGTGTTGTTGGTAGAGTAAACTCAATTTGCCGAAACAGCTGTTTTTTGGCATTCCGCATAAATTGTGAATGGTTGTGTTCACTGATAGGTATATTAACCCTTAAAGGTACATACAAAGTAAGTTCTGCAATTCACTTCCGAGTGAATGTCAACCAAATTCAATATGAGATCAGAGGGACTATGGTGAAATTGTACTGTATGTACAAAGGAATAAAGATTCTGCACAAAATAAATTTAATGAAATTGTTAAAAATGCAGAAAGCTGCTGCATTTACAGCAAATAATTTATTTTTTACGAATTTTCCAACGTTTATTAATTTTTCATTAAATTTCATAAAGTATGGCCTTCCACAAAAATTATGTATAAGAGAATTGCAAATATTTTTTCCAGTACAACTACACGTTTTGTTGAAAAAATTGTCAATTCTTTCATAGCCCAGCCTTATGAATAAAAACTAAGCAAATGCTTTTTCTTAAAACTTCAGACCTTTTACGTAAATTGATTTGAATAAATCGAGTAAAAGATCTGGAATTTTGAGAATAAGCAATTGCTTAGTTTTTATTCATAAGGCCCATTGGCTTCATTAATTTATATTATACATTTATTTTTACAAAAATTTAAAGAAATATACTAAACATCTTTTATGCTTACTGCACTACACCAATGCCAAAAAAAGTCTAACTCATATCCTCGCTTAGTAGAAACGCCTAGCCAACTTCATAGCACGACATTTTTGCTTAAAGAACTCCTCCTTGGCGGGCATGTACTCATGCGGTCGCCAAATGCGGAATTGTTGTATATCTGCTTCGCGCGCCGGCATATAGGCGAAGAAAGTGTCTCTTGCATTTCCACAAATATTCGGCTTGATTGCCATGTAGAAGGTACGCGATTGATCCATAATAGAGGCATTCACCTTATCGTAATACTCCTTGCGCAGCTTTTTAGTCTATCAAAAAATAAGAAATTATATTAAAATGATGATACTCTGGACTCATATCGTTCACTAACCTTCTTCACGAGATAATCACGACAATTGTAATTGACCATTATAGCCTCGCCCAACAGCTTGGCCGAAGGTACCATAACATCGACAGTCATCTGTTTGAGCGCATGAATAGTCGCCTTACTGTCATCGTGCACCTTACGCAGCTGCTCACGCGTATACTCTTTGCCGTAACGTGTCTCAATCCAAGAAAGGAGTGAGGGCAATTTGTGTGCATCCGGCATAGAGGCTAACACATATTTGGGATCGTTAGCTAAGAACTCTAGCGCATTTTTCAACATATTCTGCATTAATTTCTCATCGTCTGGATCATAGTAATCTAGCTTTGCATCCAAAAATGGATATCGTCGTCCCGTTCCTACATTGCGCTTCTGCTGCTCAGCCAATTCTTCGTTTTTAGCGGCTACACTTTCTTTAAATATTTTCTTAGCATACTGCTTAATTGCTTCGTTCAAATTTTTTGGTGTGTTTGGATCGTTTTTATTCAAATTCAAGTCGCTAGTGATAATTTTTAAAAATTCATTCTGCACGTTGAGCGGAGAATTATCATTTTGGAAGTGGAATACTCTCGGATAGTCAAACTTATATGGTTGATTTTCCTCGGGTGCCTTAAAATATGGATTACTTTCGTTTTGCTGCCCCTCTGAATGTCCATAATCATAGTTTTCCATATACTTGTAACCACAGTCGCACGTCTTGTTATGAAGTATATCGCGCACACGTTGTAATTTAGAAGCATTCGAGCTTCCCCGCTTCCGTTTGTGCTCTGCGGCAGAGCTCCTGCATACACCTTCTTTATTGCAGCATTTTAATCGTATCTGCGATTGCACATTTAAGTAACCTCCAATAGATTCTTGAGATGGATTTGATTGCTTTTCGGAAATGTTGTTAATATTAATAGCACTTTTTGAACTCGTTGGCTTATTGCGTTCGTCTAAGTAGTTTTCGCCTCCCTGTCGAATCACGCGTTCACTTTTCGTACATTTATTTTGTGCGACACCATGCCAAAGAGTCTCTATTTTTGAATCACAGTCGTGTATATTTTCCTGAGACCATATCTGTAGATGGCTGCGTGTCCGGTCAGCCAGTTTTTTTAACTGTTTCATGTGTACGTTGACGTCCTGTTCAATCTGACGGCGAATGCGTCCAATACGCTCCTGAGTTAGAAGATGAAGGTAAAAAATATATAGAATCATAATAAGAGAAGATAAAGATAACTATTCGGGAAAAATATTGCGCTTAAGTGTGCAAGGAAATGCACTTTGGTATAACCCGTCAGGTCCAAGAGAAGAAATAACATGGAAGAGAATTTGAAGTAACTTTAGTTCCAAGAAATCTCTATTCTGCTAAAAATATTTCCTATAAATTGCATCAGCTCTTTCACTTGTTTTTTTTTTCGAATGCAACACTGCTCTACATGTGACAGTTTTTATGAATTTGCAGGAAGAAAAACTAGGACTAAATCCTGCAACTTCTTACTGAGAGTAAGCATATCTTACTCTCACGAAAGTGCTCTCAGTTACAGGAAATTACAGGAAATTTATCTGCTGGAACGCCTTTCGGACTAAATCTTGCAAAACCTGCAAATCGTACTGCTGCTTGAACGCAACTTATATTTTATCGTATCAAATAAATGTGAGTCTAAGAAGATGCGTGCATAGTCGACAGCATTTGTTACTGATCCTTCTATCAGAAACGAAGAGCTTTTCTACAATTGAGCATGACAACTGAGCTTAACATAAGACAAGCAGAAACATTCTGCAAGGGATTTCACCGCTCAAAAATCCTCACAGTTTGATTACAAACCTCGTTAGACCCGCGATCTGTTTTAGACGAGAAGTTCCACCCTTGTATACTTTTCCTAATATCAAATTTTCTGTAATTGTTCTTTTATCGGGTGCCTTAAACTCTGCCAGATAGCACTATTGCATACTCACCTCACTTTTAGGAGTCTCAGCGTCGAAATACCTTAGACATTTCTCCCGCGCTCTTACTCTCAGTTCATGTTCGATAGTTTTCTCCATTTCGAGCAGAGTTTTATGATGCAAACAAAGACTCTTTTGCAACTCATTATCATTGTGTTCATTGGTCAATCTCATATTCTTGTACACATGCTCATCAAAGACGTTTTTCACCAGCAACGACTGTTTTGGAATTTTTTCTTTCAGCATTTCATTAATTTTTTCTGTCAACATTTGCACTCCCGTTCTCTTTCCGGGTTGTAAATTATATTCGGCAAACCAGCGATTACCTTCGTTCGGTGTCACATAAGTCAAATCCCTAATGTCTTTATGCGCTGATTGCGACCGACAAGCAGGCGGATGCGATATCAAAGAATGTTCATATAGTCGTGGACGTACTAATTCATCAAAGTATGGCAATTTGTATTTAATTCGAATGCTAGTAACCGTTCTATTTTCACTCGAAGAACTCGCGTTTTGTAAACGCTTTTTGGCGTTTTTTTGCTCAGCAATTTTCATGCGACGTATTTCTCGCTTCGTCGGTTGCTGTGGCGGTAGTACTCGATCCAAACCGCGAAGTGTAAATACTAAATCCAATCCAGCAATACTTGAGAAAATCAACTGTTCATTTACACTGTAATTCGTATTGTCACTATTGTAGTACATCTCTTTAACGAACCACAAAAACGCTAAATCATTCGATCCACTAAGAAACATAACGAATCTGATTTGCGATTCACCCAAGGTTGGACGTAGACCAATACGATCTAGTAAAGCCTTTACACGATGTGTTGTACCCTGTTCGAGGTCATCACGTATGGCATATTGCAATTGGGAAGCGGCTGTAAGTTGAAATGAGGACAAGCCGCGATACCACTTCGGCACGTCGGCATTCCTAACGAAAGTTTCGATGATGCGCTTATTGCGAAACTTCATTTCCGAATCCACTTTGGTGGATGGTTTCACATTCTTATTGCCGGAAAACATTTTGAACGAAATTTAATTTTATCACTTGGCAAAACAAACAAATCGTGATTGGAATTTGGAAAAGAATTTAAATTTTTACTAGCGCAAAAAATTTGTAGAAAAACTAACAAAAAATTCTTGTCTGGAAATAGTTTTAAAAATAAAACTGACAAATATCATGTGGGATATTTTTAAAATGTTGTATAATTCACTGTCAGATAAAATTTGTAAGTGAAATTTATACGCAGTTCACATGTTATATCTAAATGAGCGAAGTTGTTCCATGAATTGCTTACCTAAGGGTTAATAGATCTTCGTTCAGACTTTACGCCGCGGCTAATCCAAGCCAAAGCACATTCATTCGAAATATAATGTTAACATTTTTGTTAATTCTNAAACGCATTCTGTTTATTCCGGCTGTGAAATGGGATTATCCGGAATGTATAAAGAAACGCAGCCATAATGTTAACATTTTTGTTAATTCAAATTTTTCTATTTGTGTTTTTAAAGGTTTGAATGAAAGACATGCGCAAGTTAAATTTTCACGCCAACTGCCTCACCCACTCATTGAGAATGCCTACAATAAAATAAGAAAAGCAAACAAGCTGGCAGCTTCAATTTTCAAAATTTTCTCACTTCCTGCCTTGGTCATCTGGCAATACTCACCGAATAGCGGAAATCTTACCGCCATTTTGCTAGTTGTCAACAGTTGGTGAAAATGTGAGATTAGTTCAAAGTGAAGCGTAACAAAAATTTGCTTAAATTATAGTTTATTTGTGTTCTTGTGTTTTATAAATAAAATATATTTTCGCGGTGTCTACCCACAAATGCATAGTGATAAATGAAAAGTGAAAATATAGAAAATAAGTGTGTGAAAAGCTCGAAGCCAAGTATGCCTGTTCAAAGTGAAGTGCATGCAAATTTGCTTGGTTGTACATAATCTTATTTATGTTAATAATGCAGCGATATAGTAGAGCAAGTGTTTTATGCTGAGTAAAAATGAAAATATTCTATCAAATAAATATGTAAATAGCTCAATAGTGAATATGGTTTTGATGTACATAAATGCAAAATCTTTGCCGAGTGATGTGCAAGCGAATTTGCCTTTGTCGCAATTCATTTGGCTTATATGCTTAATTAATTATAAATAATTCCGTATCATTCGTATAATAGAACAAGTGTTTGGTGCTACATAAATGAAAATTTGAAATCAAAATAATTGAGTTAATGAAGTAATGTACGAGTTATGCGAAAGTATAAGTGGCTCGAAGCTAGATAAATATTAAAAGAAAAGCTAAATGGGCTGCCGTAAAAATGTGCAATGGGCATACATTGCATTAAATATAAATAAAATGTAAGTAATCACTTGTCACAATATTAGCCTATACTGGACATTACCAAATATTTTGTAGCCGCAAAATTTAAAAATAAGATATCAAAAAATAGAAAAGGGTTACACAAATATTGTTACTTGCGCAGAATAGAACAGGGGGCCAATTCTCGTTCTATAAAACGGTGAAGTGAAAATGAAAAGTTAAAATTTACCTTACTTATCCTTTTCACAGCCACAAAAATAATTAACACAGTGAAAACTTTTTGACAAATGAATTTATTTTCATTTGAAAACAGAATTGTAATTTTATGTTAAGTAATGAAAAATGTTTTCACTCCATGTTTTCAGACAACAAGAATTGTTCCCCTGTATAGAGATTGAGGGTCATCTTTACTTTTCATACTGTAAGGTCCGTTTGCCATTAAGGGCCGGTGGTTCAATGTCTGATTAGCACAAATCGGAGGAAGAAGCTCCGGTTAGATACAACGACTGCTTTATCAATCATATGTTGTACACATGATGACGAAATCGTCGATAATGATGTTTAACCGGCAAGTAGTGATAACCAGACATTGAACAACCGGCCCTTATTCTAATTCCCAGTTAAACATAGTTATCGACGATATCGACACCCACCCTATAACATGTGATCGATAAAGCAGTCGATGTGCTTAACTGAAGGATGTACTTACCCCCAGTTAGCGTTAACGAGACATGGTGCAAACGGCCCAAATGTACCAATTAAACCACTCTTAATTAAAACAAGTAAGAAAGTCTAAGTTCGGACGGAGCCGAACATTAAATACCCGGCGCAAGTATTAAATATATATATTTTCACCTTTCCGAAAGCTACCGCTAGATGGTAAACCGGGGTGTATCAATTTTGAGTAAATTAGCGTCCTTCAATTTCGAAATATTGAAGTTTCAAGCATTTCTGAAATTTACCGTTATATGAAAAGCGGCCGTTATTTTAGTCCGATTTCAATAATTTTCAACGTTTTGCTTATATGTGGCAAGCACAATAACCACACCGAGTTTGTTAAAAATTGGTAGAACGGTTACCGATATACTTATATATGATCATAAGTTGGCGGTGCCACGCCCATTTTCCAAAATTTTACCATAAACGTATTTCTTGGTAAAGAATTGTTGCAAGCATCAATTTTGAATAAATTAGCTTCAATATTTACTGATTTATCGAAGATT